TTTTTTTTTTTTTTTTTTTAATAAATGCTTAATTCCACTTCACACTAATAGTCCTTGCTATTTCTTTGCAGTTTGATTTGAAAAATAATGATAACTTAAGTACAAAAGACCAGTTTGGAAATGTTTACATAACTTGCAGTTCCCTTCTTAATTGAAAGTAGGGCGAAACAACTGCTGTACAGCTTCAGACAAGAAAGGTTAAAACAGCAACTGAAATAACTTTGGTGTCACAAAAACTTAAGTTACAGATCTTTGTCACTTCTGGTAGATAAATACATTCCATTTGGAAAAAAAYCCACTTTATTTTTTGTTAAGCCTTTTCAGCAAAAGTATATTATTAAATCCAGAGACATTTTAAATTTTATTTCAAGTGAATGAAGATGAAGGAAGTATTTTTATTCACAATTCTTGTACATTAATGAAATAATKATGCTTATTATGTGTCTTTTATCATACAAGACACTTCATCATCTACTGTGGGCTGAATACAAAGTGAGCATTTTAAAAGGCAATGTTTAACTCCAAATGTCCAGTCTGTTCTCCCAAGATTTCTAGCAGACTCCAAGGCACTCTGATCCTGCTACACAGGGCACTCGCAGGCATCTGCTACAAAGCACAATCCAGCCAGCAGCAAACACTTCTGTATCCAGATAGCTGCCAGTGCACACAGAGGATTTCATTTCCTTCCTGTAATTCTTTGAACTTCTCTGTAAAGTTTCCCTTCCAGTATATTAGAAATAAGAGTTAAATATTCATACATTTGAGGACGTCCATAAAGGATCATCTAAAATGAACTTTAATCAAACTGAGATTTGACATGTCACCTTTTCATTATACAGAACACTGAAATGAGTTCAAACTATATTTTGAAACATAAATAAATTCCTTCTACATCTCCTGCTCCCATTCTATTCCCTTTTCATGCTTTTTGACTAGCCTTCCTCTTCATTCTTCTAGCATTTTTATTTCATCCTCATCTACTTCTTTCCCTGTTCACTGCCCACCAAGGCCATTGTGTCCATGTTATGAAAGATGACTTTTAGTCAAACCCTCAGGAGCGAATAATTTGAAGATCTTGCAGACAGGAATAAGGGACCATGGTTGCCAAATTTCATTTGAGAACTCCAGTTATATTGGTTCAATGGCACATTTATATGTAGGAAGTATAAAATAAGAAGGGTAACGGACACTAAGTTTTTGGATAAGTTTTTTGGTAACTGGCAGGTAATACTAGCAAGTCACTCCTGCATAGCATACTCATCAGAAAGTCAAACTTGAAGCAAAATCCAAAGAAAGCTTGCCCAGCTGCACGTTTCCCAAAGCACTGGCAATATTTTACTTGCATGATATTACGTGAGCAATTTGTGCTTTGGCCTCTCAACCATCTTGTCACAGATGATATGCTTCACAAGCATCTGTTTGACAACAAYTTCACTTAGTTCCAGTCACAGGCAGCAATCATTCAAAAAGAGTTACAAGAAAAGAATGAATAATGTAGAAGTGACTTCTCCAATTTCAATATATAAATGTCCCAGTAAAAGTCAAATTATTTCAATCTAATACAAGCTCAGGATCAGTCTCAAATTTRAAAGCTTGCACTCATTTTATTAACAATAGCCTACTTGCTCTGAAGCATGACTCTTCATTCCACTGTAAAATGTCTTTCAAAGAAACAGTCCTAGTTTATCACTCAACTACACGTTCAGAAGTTCCAAACATGAGGGAAGCATTGCTAGATACCTAGAGCTGCCTATCTTACGCTGAGGTGTGAACTTGCTTAAAAAAAACCTGAGTGTTTTAGATACTTCTCCTTTCAGCTTCTTAATTTTTGCCAGATATTTTTATTCTCCTTTTCCAGACTTTTTTTTAGACGCATGTGTCCACATCTGTCAAAAGAAGACCTCATGCCTCACATTATTTATTAGTATGCTTCAAAAATAYGTGTTTGAAATAATGGAGCCCTTAGTCAAGCTACAAGTTGCTCATAGAAAAATTAATTTACTTGAAGACAGGTTTAACCGTAAGGATTTCTTTGTACCTCAATGAATGAAGTCCCATTAAATGTTGCACTACCTATTAGTTTGATACTATTAGTTTGAAAATGCATGTTTATATATGAACAAATATTGTGGGGGGAAAGTTACTGACCTGCTTTCATTCTGCTCTTTATTAACAGATATATTTAAAACACATTTGAAGGTGAAGGAATTTTTGTATACRGTTATGGTTCTTAACAGTGGAGCAGCTGAATTCAGGGAACCCCATGGTTTCTTTATGAAACAGATTGTAAAGGTCATTCTGCCTTCCCACTGACTGTGATTCAACCCAACTGACATCTGACTTCATCTCATTGCGTCAAGAAGGACACTTACATAGCAACGAAAAATGTTATGTTATGCGATAGTTTACAACAAGTGAATCTTTTCCAACTATGACTGACTAAGTCATCATCCTCGTGGTTCTAATAGCTGTGCTCTAACCCCTGTGCTGTAAATTATAACACTCTGGATATGAATGCCATGTTTTCTTCTTCAGAAGAGCTTACTGGGTTTGACCTCAAGAGTTGAATTTTTTTTTTTTAAGCAGCAAGACTTATGCTATCTTTGCAAGTATATTCAAGTATATCTTTCACTTTAAACTGAAGTTCCAGTCATAAGCATTTCCCTTAGCATTCAACTGAAATGTTATGATCCATTAGTTGTTACTAGCTGAGAATCTGCATTGAAAAGTTTGAAACTGCAGCAGCAAATGTGAGTGACATCCAACTGGGTAAATGTGAGTGATGTCCACCTGAGTCCAACWGTCTTCTGAGGTTTCTTTCTCTCAAAAAACCTGGTAGCAGACCTTGTCTGTGGAATTCAGTAATTATATGGCCCAAGASCTGTCAGCACAACTCTGATGACTGTTCAGATGTTCTACAAAGATCAAAAGGCTCGGAGCAGGTTGAGCTAAAGATTGCTCAGATCTGTGTCCAGTCAGGTGTTGAATGCTTCCAAGAATGAAGCGTGAACAACCTCTCTTGCCAACTCATTTCAGTGTTTGAGAAATCTTACCTAAAAAAGGTTTTGTCTAAATTTTTTGTGGGGACTGCCAATTAGACCTGGGTTTGATCTCATTTATTCCCTCCCACCACTTATCATCTACATTGATAAGACCCCTGCTGAACAATCCAAGCACCCTCAGCCTCTCCTTGTATGACAGATGCTCTAATCCYTTCATGACCTTCATGGCCATGCACTGCACCCACTACATCGTACCACTACATTATTGTACTGAGGAGTCCAGAACTAGATGCAAGACCCCTGATGTCAGCACATCACAGCTGATAAAAGGATTGACCTGCTGAAGACTGTCCTCCTAATGCCACCTTGGATGCTACTGCCCTTCCTTTCACAAGGGTGCACTGCTGCATGATGTTCAACTTAGTGTCCCCAATCACCCCTTGGTGGTTCTTCACCAAGCTACTTTCCAGTCAGTCACTATCCAATCTGCACTGGTGCATTGGGGTTATTTATTCCCAGGTGTAGGATTTGGCATGTCCCTTTGCTGAATCTTAAGAGGTTCCTGCTAGCACATTTCTTCAGCCTGTCATGGTGCCTCTGAGTCACAGCAGATCAACCTACCACATCAAGCACTTCCAGGTTTCTATTGTGTCATTCCCTGGCTGAAGGGCCACTTTGTCCCACGGCTCAGATCGTTAATRAAGATGTTAAATAGTCCTGGCCTGAGTCAAGTCCTGTGGTTGACCACAAGTGACTARCCTTCAGGGGGACTTTGTGCTGCTGATCACATTCACATGAACCTAACAGCTGAGCCACTTTTCAGTCTACCTTGCTGTCTAGTTACCTAGCCTGAAATACAACAGGATGGCTGAAGTACCGTATGAGAGCCATGGGTGGTGAACACAGAACTTCCTTTAGTTGTCCAAAAACAAACAAATTCCTTACARTCTGTCTGCACTAGACACCCATAACAATATTGCTCACGTTGGTCTGTGCACTAATCTTGACCTAGAAGTTTTCAACTATTTAATCACTCACTCCCAGGCAGAGCTCTGTGCCTGTCACAACTCTCTTACATAAAGGCAAATTCTCCCTCCTCACATTCCCAACTTACAATCTTAGAACTGTAGGATTGTTCAGGCTGGCGGTGGCTTTAGAGATTATCTGGTTCACCCGCAGCACTGTTAATGGAGACATCTTTCATGGCATCACCAGTCATTACTGGTTTCCAACTGGATATTAAGCCACTGACTTTACAGACATGGCCATGCAGCCAATTTCTTATTCATTACAGAGTCCATTTGTCAAACCACATCACTGTACCAGCAGTATGAATGTTGAGGAAAGCCTTACCAAAGGCCTTATAGAAGTCTAAGTAGATGAATCACATCTTCTATGGTCCACTGATACATTTACTCCACCAGAGAAGGACACTAAATTAGTCAGCACAATTTGYCTTTGGCAAAGTAGCATCAGTCGTCTCTAATAACCTTCTTGTCTTCCATGTGTTTTGATATGTCTTCCAGGAGGACCTGTTTTGTGATCTTACCGACCACAGAGGTGAGGCTGACTGGTTAAGTATCTCCCAGGATCCTCCTTTTTACCTTTTTAAAAAGAGGGCAATCTTCTTGAACATTAATCATATTAATGAATATAATGTCTYCTCTGCAAGGTAACCTCTTTCTAGGGGAATCCTGACAGATGTGTATGTGCCTGTAGTGGGATAGTGGGATGGTATTTATCTTCACTTAAAAGCCATGCAAAACAAATGGCTATTCATGCATGCTCTTAAGTTATATATATTAGTCACTGAGTAAGTGACATTTTCTGCAGTATTTATATGGCATGAAGTATCTACATCAATCAAACAACACTAAACAAACAGCACCTGCCAATCTTAACTGCACAGACCAAAGCACTAAGCTATAGCCTTGCACATCTAGGACACTCTAAGAAAAACAAGACCTCTCTAAGAAATTTACAGAAACAGGGCWAATTGACATTCAGACTCTGCAAAAACAGCTACCACAACTTGGACCTAGACTTGCACCTTACTGCATATTACTGAGACTTTCTGTTACTGAGAGAAACTCACTGTGGATCCTTTCCAGTAAGGCAGCACCTCTAATAACAGTTTGCAAGTCACAAGCACACATCATTAAAAATTCCCACATTTTCATCCTCAGCAGTTTTGATTTTCRTTTCTCAGATGAAAGCTACAAGTTGAAAGTAAGCTGCTCCCTGACAAAAGATGAAATGAAAATGAGGATATAAACCAAACGCTGGTAGAAACTTCAGTCTGTTTCACCACTGTTTGCAGAAATACTGTCAGATAGTTTTGTGATGGCATTTTCAGCAACATCGTCATATCCTGAATCCCCCCAACAGGGCAAGTTCCTCACTTGACACAATTGGGTTAAGTGAGGAAATCTGTGCAGAAAAAAAAATACAAAAAAAACTGAAGCATGGGTCCTGCCATGGGCATGTTGCCGCAACAAGCAGCATTTGTTCTGTTGAGATTCCTGAACAAGGTTTGATTATGCTTAGAAGCTTGATGCTGAAAGAGAATTGATTCTTGACCTACAAGGATCATCTTGCTAAAATTTATGTTGCTACCCACTTTAATTATTCCTAGCTGTAAAATAACTCTGCATTCTCATCTAGTTCCTTTAATAATTCAATGGATTATAAATCAATTGACAAGCTTCACAGTCATTTTAAGACAACAACATCTTCTAATGCCAATGGTAAAATATTCTCCTTCACCTCTTACTCATTTTTTTTCACAAAATTATTATTATATTAACTTAATTATTTATACTGCAGTTCATTTCATGCTTCCTAATGAAAAACCACATTTTGATAGGTTTGGTTTAATTTTTTTAATTTTTTTGTTTTTTATTCTTTCCTACAAATATACACACATACATACATGCATTTTTAATAAGCAGTTCTCCAGGTTCTCGCTCCAAATAAATTCATACATAAAAATTAAATAAAAAGATAACTTACCCTAAATTATTTGCCAGCTTTACTTGAAGCATCTTTCTATTTAAACTAGAAAATTCACTGTATTGTGTTAATTCTCCAAATAGCTYAGAGTCATTGCCCTATGTAGGACACCTCACAAAGAGCAGTTATGAAACCACTACGATTTAACTACACTGGCAGTTTTACTTTAATCTTACTCCATCATTATTTTTGCTCTTTTGCCTACTCAGAGTATTACTAGTCATTAAAAAAATGTATTCAGAAGTGGCGTAGCAAAGTAGGTTGCAGTAAAGACTGAATTCAGTACAATTTCTCTGAATATTGCTCTCAAAAAATAGCTGATTTGCAGTGCAATGCCATACTATTGAATTTAAAAGTCCAAACTCTTCTATAAACAATGTCCTTTCAGTATATCTGTAATATATATTTTTTAGCTAATTTACCTTTTTCATATGCAGGTGTATTCTCTTGCAGCAATCTGCTAAGCTGGAACCCATTCAAGTGCACAAAACGTAGCTGTTCTCTCATTGTCTTGCCTCCAACAACTGGCAATATAAGGTTCCCCACACTGTTTCTTGAAATTGGCAGACCAAGACCAATTGCCAGTGTGCTAGCTAAATCTGTTTGCTGCACACGTTCAGGTTGGGCTAGAGGACCTAGAATCAACAAAAGTAAAAAAGAACAAGAAAGAAATAGGGAGAGGAAAAGAAGCATTTCAATTGCAAGCCCATTCTATTTCTCCAGAAACAGATGGCACCTTAATAGTTTCAAAATTGTTTCATTAGTGTTAGATCAGCTATTTTAAGTGGTCTGCAGAGAGCTGACTGATCTTTTTCAGCTGCTATCCTCTGCTGCTGTAAATCCTAAATTTATTAAATTCTTAGCTAGCATAACTCTTCAATGCTAACAACTACTGTAAAYACAACATAAATGTTATACAAGTAAGAAAACAGATAGTCCAGGGGATCACCTYAATATCAAGTTGCAGCCTGCATCCTAAGAGAATTTCATAACTTTTACATTAGAAATAACAGAAAGCACTACAATAGGCCAATTTAACGTATGAACAAAGAATGAGAATCTAAAACAATGTTGACAGCATTCCAGAAGCTTCTCAATCTAATGACAACAGCTCAACATCTAATTAATATTAGGTTGCTAGGCAAACAGAATTAGAGATCAGGTAAAGAATGTTGAGGCTCAAAATCCATGGCTACATRCAGGCAAACCCAGTGATTTTTAAAGGGTCTTGTGCAGGATTCCATTAGCTTATAGCAGTTGTCAGGATTAGCTTTCAGTCACACAGAAATCTACACAAGTGAATGATTTTATCAACRTAAGTAACTTTCTGTTTAAGATTGTTTTGCCAGCTGTTTCTTTTCATGCTGAACTAGTTAGGTAACAGTGTTTTTCTATTATRCTTTTATTTCATCCTCTTTGTAACCTCAGGCATTGAGCATTTTGACTTAAAAACAGTATAGAAAGAATTCTACATAGTCTTTATTCCTCTCAAGGCTCCCTTTAAGAGCATTAAAATTTCTCTCATTTCTCATCTAGCTCTGATTAATCCCATACTTGCACAGAATGCCATCTATAATCCGTAAAGCCTCTTTGCATGAGTTTCTGTATGTCAGCAGCTTTCAGATTTTATCTTTAAAGGCAAGTTCTTAACTGGTTAAAAAAAAGCCAAACTACCAAACACATTTAGCCAATCATGGGTGACACATCTCTGTGGAAGGCTATACAAGTAATACTCTGACAGCATACTAAATGCAAAAAGCCCACAGGATTACTATTTTGAGGTCTACCAAATTAACCACAGTACATTTTGTTGACAGCAGGATCATAAGGAGCAGTCACTAGAATCCTGATTACTGTACCAACGAAAAGTTAACTGCTGGACATTTACAAAGGCATTAGAAATCATGAACTCTCACAAAAGACAGGTGAATAGATATATTTCACTGTATTGTAAGAACTACTCATTAAGTTTAAACCTTATAGAAACTAATCCCAATGAACAGGAGACTGAACTTACAGAATCTATACTATCATGGTCTGGCTGTCAATACCTGCTGGTGAAATTCATAAAGCCTTAGCCAAAAGCTTTGGTCCACTCGACTTTGTTTTGTTTTCAGACCTGAGAAGATGTCAATGACTCCTTAAGCAATGCTTTCTATTGCAGCTGGATAACAGCTTTATAAATGACAGACAGAAAAATCTACCTTCATTGTGCTGCATGACCTCCAGCAAGATAAATAAATCAAGGTTCTGCACATAGGCTTTAGAAAAGAAGAAATCAGATGGAAATGAGCAAGAGGCAGAATAAAGGCAGAATGGAGTATGATTTTGGGGGAAATATTCACTCCCGGCATAACTACATTCCGCCAATTCACTCAGTCAAGGAGTTTATTTAAGCWTGACTCTGCAAAGTAGACTGAAGATTCTCTATCACTCCATTTCTTTACTGTCTCTTGCCTTTAACTATCTGGCTTTTATTTTTTATTGTTATCAACAAGTAGAAAATTAGCTTCAGAAACATGTAAACTCACATTAATGACATAAAATTAACTGCCCCATACTGTAAACATACTCATGCTCCATATTCCTTCCTCAAGACTTCCTTAAGTAATCAATATTCATGTTATCACTGCCATCACCTCTCACTCTTTCACAAGGTCAGATCAATCTGATATTTTAAAAAAATGGTATTTCTAMCTAGTCTCTAGCCTCCCAATGGCTTTCTTCCTCCTTGTTAACTATGCGTGAGAAATTGTCATTCATTCCTCTATCCTAGCTGTCTGAGAAGGAAGAATGGAGGCCAAGAAAATATTCTGGCCATGAAAGACAAAATTTAAATTCACTTCAAATAGGATTTTGGACCTCAACCTATTCATTTACCATTAGCCCAGGATCATTACCATTAGTAACAACAGATGTCATTAGGTCTCAACACTCAGGACAGTGCTGTAAAAAATTATCTGAGATATACACAATTGTCCCAGCAGCTATAAAGCCTGATTCATGGTTTCACCAAGATACAGATGCTAACTTTGSCTAAAACCAGAGTTTTGGGCCACACCAAACGGGCTTTTCCAAATAGCTGCAGAATAAACCAAAGCACTTTYCAGGAAGAATTCCAGAATAAATTAGAGTTGCCAGTGTGTTCTTGGCGTGGTGTCAACTAAGAGAGAGTTAATTTTCTCCCTAGTATCTGGTACAGGKCTGTGTTCTGGATTCAGTATGAGAATAATGCTGATAACACACTGATGTTTAGCTATTGGTTAGGAGGGCTTACTCTATAACAAGACCTTCTACACTTCCTGTGCTCTGCCAGCATGAGAAGCTGGGAAGGAACACAGCTGGGGCACTGACCACAAGAGGAATAGGCCATACCATAGAGCATTGCAGCCAGTATACAAACTGCAGGGAGTTGACTGGGTGCTKTGCATTGTTGCTTCAAGATGAACTGGGTACCAATCAGCAGGTGATGAGAAACTGTATTGTGCATCACATGTTTCTCTTGAGGTTTTTTCCTCTCCCTTTCTTAGGTTTTATTCCTCTCTCTCTTCCCTTTTCATTACAATAATTACTATAATCTACATATTATTATAAGTGTTCTTGTTACAGTTGCACAACAGTAATATTCCCATCCTATTAGAGAATAGTATGCACTGGTATCTACTAGAGCCTTACACCRAGTATCACACAGACACTCATAGTAATGAAAATAAGACAGGGAAAACAGGAAAAACAAGTGATTCACAATAAAATTTATCACCACCTGCTGACCAATGTCCAGCCAAGCCCCAAGCAGCAACTAGCAAGCCCCAGTTGATACACTAAGCATGACATTCCATGGTATGGAATATCCCTTTGGTCAGCCCAGCTCAGCTATCCTAGTTATGCTCCTTAATGGCTCCTTTTGCACCTTAATTCAGAGTAAACACAAAAAGTGTTTACCTGGTAAAGTAAAACCCTTAATTCAGAGTAAACACAAAAACACCAGTGTGTCATCAACATTATTCTCATATTGAATACAAAACACAGCCCTGAACCAGCTACTATRAAGAAAATTAACTCTATTCCAGCTGAAAAAAGACACTTCAAAAAAAATCATGCTTCTCTGATCCTTACCACTTCTCTTTTCAAAAGCAGAGCTGATAAACAGCAGTGGTGTATGCACTTCTCCTTCTGAAGAGCCACCGTGACTACCTGTTTCAGACATCCCATGATCCCCACAAACAACTAGCAAATTGGGCAGAGAAGCTTCCTCCTGCAAATCACAGAAAAAAGTCTAAGTTATCATACAAGCATAATTTATTTATATCATTTCACTATCTTCATCATTTTCAAACACAAATATTCTCAAAATTTCATTTTTGAAACTTGCTCACAACACCCTGGTGCCAAATAACAAGAGATTTCTGCAACTAAGTATTATGCCGCAATAATATTTTTTAAAAGTTAAGGCACATATATATCTAACACACTTGACAGTATCTTAGCAAAAAAAAAGCACAAAAAAGCTTTAAAAAAACCCTTAATTTACAGAGTCACAAAAAACTCTCTGGAAGATTAAATAAAGATTAACACTGTGAGAAGAAAATCAGGAGTTTAGAAACAGTAGCCTTAACAGAGAAATATTCCCCCTCTTCATTTCTTCAGCTTCAGTGAGTTTTCAAATACATGCTGAATTATTAATACTATAAATATCAAAATAATACCAATTCAATATTAAAAAATAATCCTATTTCTAACAGTCTCTAGTTTCTCAAGGGCTCTAGGGGTTGAAGTCGGACTGACTGGGGACTGAACTCAGACAGTCAGTGAAGACTGATGTTAAATGATGTGTATGTTTCTGAATAAAAAGGAACAGAAAYTTAAGTGAGACCTATCCAAGAACAYTGAGATAACAAAGTGGCAGAAAATAAAGTCATTCCACAATGTAGACAAAAAACAATGTAGTTTTTTGTCATCTCTAGTTATTACCAGTACTAATTCTATCAAAAAAGTAAAGTGCTCTCATYATATCTTCATTCTAAAACTGACATGGAGGCTTGCATGTAATTGTAAAAGCAAACATACTAAAAAAATGGCAGAAAAACCACTGTAACATTCATGGAACTTCCATATACAGGATTTAACCTCTCCTTTCATGCAATTTTATCCACTTGACTAAAAATACTTTTGCAATTTCATGACCAGCTATTCTGTACTGCAGTAGTTTATTCTGACTATGAAACAAAGCTTGAGACCACTTGGAACTAGGACTCAGTGCTTCAAAATCCAGTCTGCTGGATTTTGGAAGTAAGAATTTTGGCAGGCATTCTTCTCCTATTCCAGCCTACCAAGGGGGTGTTGTTTCCCACAGCTGCCCAGAAGAGGCTGTTAACAGATGTTTCTGAAATCAGCCAGAAAATCCTTAAAAATGCTGTTTCCCACTGTTAACTGGAAAACTGCCCATGAAGACAAAGCACAGAATACCTACTTTATTCTAGGACTAAACAAGCTACCAACAACCAGCAAGTATTTTGATGTCAGTCCACAACTAACAGATGCTGACTCACGAAGACGTATTACCTTTGAAAGAAGAGAAATATGAATCTTTTTCAGTATGTTATCCATTTCACGAAGTTTTGGTCCCACTAATGGGCTGTTTGGCCCAGTCATATGTCCAATATGGTCCAACCCCAGGTAATGTAGTATTAGAAGATCCCAGTCTTCTCTCTTTAACACTCTATCCAAATGTCTGGTAACATTATCATCAACCTCAAAGAAAATGAACACAATTACAAGGTTAAAAAATATTCCCTCTTGTAAAAAGCACAAAAAAGTTAACTACACTATMCATAAAAATTCCATTGAAGTTGCTGAGATTTACAGTCACTCACAATGTTAACAAGAAAGAWATTTGATTAGTTCAATGTCAAGCAGTCAAACATAATTGCCTTGAAAAACAGATTTTTCACCCAATTAGCTCTTTTCTGGTAATGATGCATCAGATTACATACGGACAATGCAAATCGATTGCAAAGCTTCCTCAAAAACTTTTAAAAACTGTTTCAATAACTTTTCAGTCACTTTCACACTCCTGACTATCACTTTTCAAGCGCTCCATCAAGTATCACAAGTACGACAGAAAGTCTCTATTTAGTGACAGGAAGCACAGGGGTACAACAAATCCTGATCTTTCAACTCAGTTTTTGCTAGTGTACAAACACAAAAAGATTGTACTTGCTATGTGTCAAAGAACTGGCAATATAGTAAGAAACAAAAAAAACTACTTGAAAAGTGCTATTCGGGGCCTAAATCAACTATTTTCCAGCTTAGGCTGGCACTACATTTTTACTTGCATAAATGCAGTTTGGATATTAAAAATCCCTACAATGTGTCACACATAACATTACTTAGTTGAGTCAGGATAAAACTACCAAGAAAACTATAAAAAGCTGTGTGTTTAATAGACTATAGTAAGAAAGCAYAAAGATTACATTAAGAGCTTGAGAGCCACATAACCACGGACCCAGCAGAACATTTGCACTTTTCACTCCAGGTTGAGGCTTTCACAAGTCACATTAGTGTAACCAATTAGAAGTGTCTTCCAATTAATATAAGACCTTTCTAATTTCCTTAAATAATAAAACATGTAAGTCAGCCACAGCAGGCCAATGGCCTGAAGTTTTATACATTACAAATGCTCAAAAATGAAGTAAATTTGCCAAAGCATTTACTCTTCTAATGTGCCCAGAGTAAACATTTTCAGAATTTGTTTATTTTCTCTGCTCTTCTTTGCTAACATAATGAAACACTCCTCCCACTGCCATTATATAAGTGATGCAATACCATAAAAGTATGCCTCTAAGAGACCACAGTAATATATTAATGAGCCTGTTGAAGAYGGCACTAACTAATAAAAAAGTGACAGCAAACTGAAAATGTGGATAGTGGAGACTTTTTAAACAAAGCAACTGGTCTAACTTCCACCCACAACAAGTTTTGTGGGAAAATGGTATGTTTAGGAGAGTTATAGAGTAATACACTGATGATTACTSTATCATTCCAGCACTCACAGCATGTGTGTGAGGGACTGAAATTCTTAGTTTCACAGTGCCCATACCAAAGACAYACAAATCAAATTTCTATTTAATTTCCAGGTGTGCATTTCAGAATAAGGGTAGCTTTACCCATTCATTCTCAGAAACTGACACTGTTTGTTTGTACTCACTRCATTTAACTTGGGATCATAAAAACTCTCACCTCTGTGAAGTCTGACACAAAAAACGATGTTGTTCCATCATATTCCACGAAGTGCTTTGGGAACAATTTAACCCAAGTATCATCRCCGTAGAATATTATTCTTTTCCCAGCCGTTTTTGCCTGCCATATCAGATTGTCATCCAACAGAGCTGGAGAATTGAGGTTCACAACAACATCGATGAAACCAGGTATGCTACCTGTCATCAAAGCCTAATGAAACAAGAAAAGAGACACATTAAACAAGAGCCTTCCAGTGCTCAGAAGATAGTAACAATATAAGCAGGAGGAAACTGAACCAGATAGCAGGTAAATTCCATTYTCAGTAAGGAAACATAGCAAAGCAAAAGAACACAAACCACCTTGCCACATAACYTCACCTGTCACAACACTGGGCTGGATAATGTGAGAGATAACAGGTTTATAAAAGTTAGAAATCATTTTGTCATAATTAGTGGACAGAAAGAAGGCTCTCTATGACAGCTGAAATTTGCCCCATTTACTACTCATTAAAGCACCAAAAAACAGTTTAGGTCTAAGGAAACTGATTCAACCTTAGCAATGACAGAACCTTCAAAACAGYAAGAAACTTCTACAAAAAGAAATCAAGTCCACCCACAAAGAGGTGCCAGACCATCTCCCCCTCACTCTCTTACTTGCCTGCTACCTGACCTATCAATGATCACTCCCTCAGCTTCTTCAATGAAGAGATGTCACTCACATCCACCACTGATAAGCCTGGATGACCAAGTAGTTTGATGACACCAAAACAATTTATCTTTTAGTTACCTGGAACTTTACACAATTTCCTTCTAAAGCTCTTCAAAAACATCCCWATGACAAAACTGGATTTTCTCGTAGAAGCTACAAGAACACAGACAAATACAAGAAAAATGTTCCTTGACAGAAGACAACTGGAAAACTCATCAACTCMGAGGCTACTGTGCTGCCTTGAAAGGCCAGTTTTTGATAATGACACAGACACGGTTAAGGGGATAAAAAGGGTTTTACCTCGGTATTTGGGATCCCAGGTGCACAACTTGATGGCAGAATGCACACCCGTGTACAGCACAGGTACAAGTTTTATAGGTTTCAGGAATTAGCATATCTATCTAGGATTCCCCAATAAGAAACTTAACAAATGCAGTAATGTCCCCCTATTCTAATGATTCCCCCCCTGGATGAGGCCAGAGCCCAGTTTACACAAGATGTTCTGGACAGAAGGCTTCACCCCAGGCTGGAGCCTCGGGTTTAAGATAGCACAGGGTACACTGACTCCTTCCTCAGGATGTTTGGTCTCTCTGCCCAGCAGAACTCCTAAACTAAGCTGGAATATCAGGCTTCAGGAATTACAAGCATGTGGGCTACGGGGTACAGGCAGATGCATAGAGGGTAMAAAAAGCGTRAAAAGGAAAAGCAAAAATCATCAGGCATCAACTGCATTCCCATGATTACAAAACAAAAGGCACTGTCATTCATTTAAGCCTGCACTAGGGCCTTATCTGTCCTTAACCTCATGGCCATGGCAAATCAAGACTCTATCACATGCACTACTACAGCAAAGAGAGATTCAGCCATAGATTGCACKAACACCATAAACCTGTCCTTTATGCCAACTCCAAGCATATGAAACAGCTCATACTTCAAAAGCTCCTCCAATGAAACAACAGAAAATAAACCCACTTACCTTAATTCGAGGCATAGTCACAGTGGGTGGCTTGGCTTCAGCAATGAAACTGTAGGAAGTCCCTTTTTCAACAACTTGCGTGGTGTATGGCATGAACTGTTTACCTTTGGATCCAAACACAAAGTCCTCTCTCAAAGCATCTATCAGCACAATGACAACTTTTTTGAAAAGYGGTGGAGGAATCTTGGTCCAGTTAGAAACCATTCCTAAGCAACAGAAATAGGGTATATAAAAGTCATCAACAAATTTTATCAATGACTAGACAGAAATTAAAGGACAATTTCACCACATAAATCAGTGCTTTCAACTTCTTTATTAATTTTACACCCAGAAATGGGAAGCTGGAAACAACAGCAAACACGAGAAGTAATCTGAGGGAGATGAGTTTTCAAGCCATCCAGCACAGATGTAACACAATCACAACTCCAGTACAACCTCTAGGAAGTGAAACAAAATGTGAATGGAATGTGTGGTGTGAAATCGGGCAAACTGAGGAAAAACTGAAATGGAGAGCGTTCAGAGTAATAAGAAGGGATAGCTGCTACCTTCCCTATTTTTYAATTCATTAAAGCTGAACTAATTGTATCTAACGGACAACTTCTGTTAGAAAAAAAGATATAGCATTCCGTGTTAATTTTGTGCATCACAACATAAACAACACCTCTATCAAATCTCACCATAAGCTAACAGGAAGATTACAAAGAAAGAGACAATTTCACTGAAATTTGTAGGAAAAAGATTTGTGCACATTATCTCACTTCAAGGTAAAAGACTGAATGCCAGGCTAGTTCAGTGATGACAGCTGCAGGGCCAAAACCCAATTCCAGAATTCCCTGGAAAGGGTATATAGGTGGGCAGAAAGAAACACTGCTGTGCATCAAATAGCAGGCAACATCATGCCTTTAAGCCCACCTCTTTCATGGACTTTCAAGATCCACATGGTGACATTTAGCTCCTACAGAAGCATTTTTGGCCCAACCTTCACAGGTCTTATATCTCTATCAGGAAAAACACAGAAGGGCAAAATGGAAGCAGAACACATCCTACCCACTGACATTGCCCCAGACATCATCATGTTGAACCAACWTCTCAGTACATGCATGATATAAAGTTAGAGGGGTTACATTCCTTTAGAGTAAAGGTTTTTTCTGCTTAAGTAGTTGACAATTTGGAAAGGTCGCAGATAATGGTGTGTCTAACCCAACAACCTGAGAACCTGTATTTTGGGGCACAGAGATAAGCATCAACAAATYGACATTCACAGATTAATTACTGCTAGTGATTCCCCAAAATCAGGAAATAGGGGAGGGAGAGCACAGCAGTGAGATGCAGAAAATTTCAGTAACAACAAAACGCTAACTGAAAGCAATCCTAATTAAACTGATCATTTTGTTTTTCCAGGGCTTGAATTATYAAAAGGCACGCTTTGGCCCTCCATGAAAAATAACAAGGCATCCCTTGATGCTCTGTTTGTTAAATCTTTCTTCTATCCACACAATTAGTGAAAGAAAGCTTGCTGGACACCAAAAATGTTCAGAACACCAATATGTATACTCTACTCCTAAGTTCCTCCAGCAGTGTGATTTACCAGAAAGTCAAAGCATTGMGAAGTTCAAATGCATTTGGAATTTTTCACAAGCCATGTGAAAATACTTACTGCAACAGAGTATCACATTGTCCAAGTCTTGCTATGAAGCATACTCATTTATCTCTGCCAGGGTTACTTAGAGAACAATTACTTTAAATGAAGCCGAACTTCTGTGAAGAAAACCATAGATTCTCTACCAAAAACTCGTTACAACTATGTGCAACAAGGAACCAGAATCTCACAGCCAAGACAGCGCGAACCCAATGRCAGTCACAAAATGAAACGTTCAGGAGATACAGAAGCACTGGAGAAATATCCTTTTCTGAATAGGGCTAAAGTAGGTTGAAAGCCTTCCGCATYATAGCGTACTAAGAAATACCCTACCTTTAGATCTTACCATCCAGACATCACTCTGCAAGCAAATTGTAACCAAGAACTACACAAAGTAAGTATTCTTCCATTGTCACTCCATTTTTGCCCACTACACCTAGGATTACCAGTGACAAGCCTGAATTTGAATTGCTTGCAAGTGTGGTGCACACTTACACACTTCAACACAAACCAGTCCTTTCAAAACCCAACTGTCTGACACCTCCCAACCAACCAGTTTCCCTCTACATTAGTCTCCTGCTAATAACAAGAAGTGAATGCAATATTTGACTCACAGCAGCCTATCAAAGATCGCTGATAGTGTTGGTAAACTCCAGCTAAAAAGCAACCTACATTTCAGCAGAAACCACTCAGGTCTGTCACCAAATTATTTCTGTGTTCCTGCTTAATCAATACCAGTACATCACACGGTAAATCACACAACTTTCTCTTCCCTCCACTGTGTCTCACCATTTAAGTAAGCCTGTCTTCATATGCATAATGTCACACACTTCAGAAAAATKAACAATAAACTACAAGCAGTCAAAGGCCCAGTTTGGCAGTTACATCCTGTTCCACAAAGTTAAGCGTAAGTAGATGTCCCAAGCAATAATTTTGTACAAGCAAAACACTTCTTGACGCAGCTACCAAATGAATCAATTTTCATCAACTTTCATCAAGCTGTTTCACAAGCTCCRAATACTGGTGAAGAATATTCCTTCAAGTACACAGTCCTCTTCTTCACATTACTTTAATGCAAGTAAGACAGTCTCATACGACTGGACATAGTAAGACAGCTACATTATCAGCACAACYTCTACTGACTCCTTAAAAAGTTTATTGAAAATTTTGGTTTTGCAAATCCAGTCGCAAATCCAGAGCAGAACCTGTAAAGACCGCGATTTCACAGAAACGGTGATGGATGGCAACACTGCATTATAACAGTTGCTTTGTCATTACTGAGGTGTTAAAAGTCTCACTGAAGTGGCATTGAGACACTCAAAAACCACAGAAGCATCACAGAAATAATGAAGCCTGCGCACAACACAGCCAGCGAGTTATCACAGGAAACGCATGAGGCGKTTTAGCATCATTTAATGCTAGCGACTTGACATTAAACAAGACAGGTAACACCGCTCCGTCAGAGTCAGGGAAAGAGAAACAAAACGACAGGAAAGTAYACCCTTCAAGAAAGTGACAGCTAACGCTTGAGGCTTTTTGCGACTGAGAGCAAAGAGATTCTGGTTGTGATCCACAACTAACGTGAAAACCCTTTAAGCTCTAAACTACTAYGGAAACTGGTCTGGAAACGCGGGCGCTACAGAGAGGTGTCCCGAGCGAGAGGGCGCGCCCGGCAGCTGCTCGCGTTACCTGTGCCGGGCGGGGCCGGYTCGGCGGGCGGCTCCGCGCGGGCCTCTCTGCGGGGCAGGGACCTGACGGGCACCGGGAAGAAGCCGCGGAGGAACAGTGCGACGCCCAGGGCCTGCACCAGGAGGCAGGAGGAGGCGAACACCCCCGAGCGCAGCCGCATGCTGGCTCAGYCCCGGCAGCGGTGGCAGCTGTGACAGCGGCGGCACGGACCCGACCCAGCCCGGCCCGGCCGGCTCTGCGCCGGCTCTGCGGGGCGGCACCAGCGGCGCCCCGCCCCTCCCGCCGAGCCCCGCCTCCAGCGCGGCGCCACCCAACCAGCGACCGCAGCGCGCTCCGCCGCGCCCCGCTATTGGCCAGAGGCCGGGGAGCCCTCCGCGAGCGCGTAACGGCAACAACGGACCGGAAGTACGGCCCCGGGTCCCGCCTCCCGCCCCTGCGTCCCGCCTCCCAGCCCTGCGTCCCGCCTCCCAGCCCTGTGTCCCGCCCCTGCATCCCGCCTCACAGCCCTGCGTCCCGCCTCACAGCCCTGCATCCCGCCTCACAGCCCTGTGTCCCGCCTCACAGCCCTGCGTCCCGCCTCACAGCCCTGCGTCCCGCCTCACAGCCCTGCGTCCCGCCTCACAGCCCTGCGTCCCGCCTCACAGCCCTGCACCCCGCCTCACGGCTCCACCTCCCGCCCCTGCATCCCGCCTCACAGCCTTATGGTCCGACCCTGTGTCCCGCTGAACCGGCTCCACCTCCCGGCCCTGTGTCCCACCCCCGCATCCCGCCTCCCGGGCTCACCTCCCGGCTTTACATCCCTCCTCCCGGACCCATCTCCCAGGCCAGCGTCCCGCCTCACGGCCCCATGTCCAACCGCGAATCCCGCCTCAGCGTCCCCGCCTGTGCTTGCCAGTCCGGCATTGCAATCCCGCGTTCCCGGGCGGGAGAGCAAAGGAGGTTTGATGCAGTGTTGTAGCAAAGAGTACTTGGCAGGTGAGACAGGAGTCTTGGGCCGCGCCTGTTGCAGGTGTTTGGCGAGCAGAGTCTTTCCCCACACAAACACACACACCCGAATAAAAATGAATAGTGATATCTTTTAGTCTTTCTGCTGGGGTGTAAATGGACTGTAGCAGGATGTTCGTAGCAGACGAATGAGGAGAAGTAAGTTTTAAAACTTTTAATTTTCTGAKCAAGGAAACCGCAGGTGTTTTGCAAAGTGAAGTGGAGTTTATACTGGTCCAGCTTTGTTCATTGAAATAGGAAAAAWAGTCTCAAAATTTCATTCTCCCCGATAGTTTTTGTATGCCCACCACTGTGCCTGAAAGGGTTTCACATGTTTCTGCRGTGTACAGGAGGCCTTGGCTTTACCTGTGAGTGGTTTGACAAGCACAGCACCCTTCCAGCTGCACTTACAGCTGGACATGTCTCCTTGTAGTCAATCAGGACAAAGCAGCACTRCCCCAGTTTGCTGCTGGGGTGGCAMCTGTTGGCAGCCACCACTCGCAGCTGTGTGCATGTGTTCACATGTGACCCTACAAGAGTCGTGTGAACAGACTCCAGAGTGGTTTTCCGCGTGCGCCTTTCCCCTCAGCACAAAGCATGATCAGTTTTGTGTAAGCACAGGCCAAATGCATTGTACCATGCTTCAAAAAAGTGTTTTCCTGTTGAARCTGGTCAAAAAAGTGGTTTTACTGCCACTTTTCACTGGCCAGCTGTTAATACCGGCTTTGCAACACCTGCCACGAGGCAAAGTTGCTGTGATGTGAAAAGCATGGGTTCAGGATAAAAGCTTTGTATTTGGCCTTTCCTAGAGGCTTCAAATACAGAGGGGGAAAAAAATCAAGGAGAATGTGTGGATTCATGCTGTTTAAACAATGTGGGTTAAAACATGTAATAAAATAAAATAAATATGTAATGGGTAATACWTTCCTGAGCACTATGCTACCTTTAGGCTATCTAAGTGCTTTTTCTGGCCACTCTTACCACCTTATGCTTCTACTCATAATGCTGCTGACATTTTCATTTCTTAATATGATCCAAAGCCATTATGTTAAAAAGAAATTGCATTTTTGCAGATCCTATTCACTAGTTTCTTTACAGAAGCATGACTCTGGGGCCCGTGAAAGTTAGTATTGAGTAATTAGCTGACCACGAGCAGTGCAWTGAAATTCAGAAAAAAATGTGTAACAAATGTTGCTTGAGTCAGTAAGAAAGGGCAAAAGGAAACTTTGGGCCAATGCATTCAGACTTTAAAATGGCTTTAGGTAATGTACCTTAAAGTTCCACTATTTGTATGCCCAAGAAAAGCTGTATTTGTTGTTTATCCTCTCCTTTAAATCTTAGCGAGKGAGGCTCTCCAACCATAAGCTGGGAAAGGTTGCATAACAAATATAAAGCACCCTTATGTAGGCAGTGTTTATGAATCACAAAACAGCATCTAAGAAACATCTGTCTTCTTTTTATTTCATGCATAAATATTACGTTCCCTTTCAGGAAGTGGAAATTCCCCAAACTGCAACTTTCTCCCATCATTCAAACCCTCAAATGGCCACATGAGACCAGAATTTCTGCGTTCCGGCAAAAGGATTTCTCCACAGACATTCAAACGCTATCTGGCATGTGATTCACACTCCCTAGGACYTATCACTGGGTGTTTACTGAGTACCAGCACCGTTTGGCAAGTTCTTGTAGCAACATGCTTTCAAGTCCATTACCGTAGCRCTTAACTGCAGGGGTCAAACACAGGAAGAATCCTGAGTGTTGTACAAGACTTTAAATCTGACTGTCTGTGAGTCTACAAGCGTGTTACAACATAATGTACTGGCAGTCACTGCTGTGCACTGCTGTGGCCGTTTTACAAGCTCTTGGGTATAACCTCCTCTGTTGTGCGTAACTCATTCATGCCCCAGGAGCTGGTGATTTCATGAGAATTCGGAGGAAATGTGTGCTTTCTTCACAGTTTGCAAGGCACACAAGCAGTGTTTTGTGCATCAGTTTATGTCAGGGGGCAATGGCTGACTTAAACAGCCTTTGGAAGGTTAAAGGTTCATTTCAGAGTGTCAGGAAAGGCGCAGTATGGTGCAATTCGTGTGATTCAAAAGGCTATTGTTTTATCAGAGCCTGCAAGCATTTCAGAGCACAGTACAACCCATCCCTGTGGGAGATGAATTTGCATCTTTCCCTGCAGGAGAGCGCGTTGCTACTGCTGCTGTTGTGAAGAGCCACTCAAGCAAGCTTACCTCTCTGTGTGTTGGGGAAAAAGGAATTTCAGGCTCTGTGCAAAGTCCTCTCTAGAGGCATTGTCCCATATCTGCTGAGCAATCAGTGGACAGAAAAGCAACCAAGTCTTGTCCTCAATAGGTACACCTTTTGGTAAGTGTCCTTGCAAATTACATTTAAAGCAGCTAGGTGATAATTGTTAGTCTCTCTGGCATCCCTCAGGGCTTTTCTTTACTAAGGCAACAAGTAAAAAGTAGACAAGGTAAAAATTTAGTGTATCCCATGASGGAGGAGCACACTCCCTTCCAACAGTCTCTGTGAACTCTGCCAAAACACTGCCCATTAGTCAGCACTCAGCATGACTGCTTCCCCAGCTCCTTTCCTCTTGATTCTTTCACTTTTTATGTTTCACAGTTTGACTAGAAAAACAGGACCTATCTTYCCTTCTCCTCTACTTCAAGCACAGACAATATGCAGCCAGTTTTCTCTGGTTTGTTTTCATCTTTCCCATTCTCTTAGCTTTATTTTGACTGATTCCCTTGTAGTTCTGCTCCCAGGCCTCTTTACCTGCTGTTAATAAGTTCTGGGGATCTGCAGCTCACCAATCTTGCTTTTTAAACTACCTCAGTTATTCTCCCTCTCTGGGCCTAATTTAACAGGATTTCACATCTGAATGTGTATGTTTGTGTGAAACCTGAAAATTTCTTCTGACACTCACAAGGTGAACACTCACTCACTCAGATATGTGAACATCTCATGCCAATGGTTTAAACAAGCATCTCTTTTCTGTAATCAGTGATACCACTTAAAGCAGTCCCTAATACATTTGATGTTGTACTGGGAAACACACAAGGGAAGTAGGAATGCAGACAGTGGCAAAACTGGCATGAATAAGTAAAAGCAACTGGTTTTACATGCAAGGGGTGTGAAGCAGAATTAATTCAAAATTAAGTGAAGCTGTAATAAAAAAAMCAGACTTCCTAAGGTGATCTGGTACTGTGAAAACACTGTGATGTAGTTAGAAATTCAGAAGGACACATAGTAATTTTTTCTCTCCTATCAACTCTCCATTCTTCAGTACATGGCAATTTGAATGTATGTCAGGTCTCTGCTGTATTTAAGCCACAGTAAAACATCAGAAAAGGTTATAAAAGACTGTCTGATGAAGTGTGACTCTGCCTCCTCCATTCTGGTGCACTGCAAAGCCTCCCGAGATTTGTAGTTGCTGAGGCAAAAGACAAAGCAGAAGCACTGCATTGTAAACCCATCCTCTGAAATCTGAGACTGAGCAGGAATTTCTTCACATAGGAAAAAAAAAAAAAGTGAAGAAATAATTTGATAGCTTTACCCACATCAAATAATTTAGTCTATCTTTCTGCACACATGCACGTGTGCACACATGCACAGAAGTCTGCCTTCAGATTTAGCTATTTTGGAAACCATGCTTGTAGAGCTTATGGGATTTGAGATTGAGGCAACCAGGGATCACTGAAGAAGATAACCCCTGATAACCCCTGAGCTGGTGAGCTGTAGAAGCCAAAGCCTGKTTTTTTTCTGTAGACTGCAGACTTGTTACTTGCCGCAGTATGAGATTACTTGCTTTTGAAGGGGAAGCAAAGCTGCAGAGCAAGAACTAATTGAAGAAAGAGGCTGCTTGTTAGTTTCCCCCAGAGCCTTGCGCTCAAAGCTTACACAGCTTAGTAACGATATCTGCATCCCTCTCCTCTACACAGGGTTGTACAGAGATGTGAATTGTCATTCTTGCTTAAGAAAGCCCTGGCTTAAAAGCTGCATTTGTGCACTCACCCGGGCAGTCCTCTCAGAGCTGCAACCATAAACTGGGATCACTGAGCATGAATCCCGCATGTGCTGCWGGTTAGAATCATGGGATGCTCTGACTCCAGGTTAGCTTTTCATTCAGTCTAAGTGGACTGGTTAAAACATGAATGAAAAAGAGCAAAGCCACAAGGCAAACTTCCAAAACCCCTAATGTAGATGGAYTGTTTCTGTAGGACATGTGTCTGACACTGTCCCCAAATGTCAGCAGACC